GACGAAATGTTTGTTAACCAAACCTCATTCCACATTGTTGAATAAACAATTGTAATTTGAATGTTTAAATATATGAATTTGAATGTTAAAATGCATGACTTTTATGAAAATAGAACTTAGATATTCTAAACGATGGTAAATGAACAAAAACTTTAGGAGTGTCTAAGGGCCTTCCTTGAAAAATTATATTGAAGATATTATTAAAGATGTGGTCTCCCTGGTATTAGGAGAGAATGTATTATTTTCAACTATAAATTATACCAAAATTTTCAGGTAAAATAGTAATAAATTAAATTCAGAGAAAAAGTAAATATTTACCTAAAGAAAAACATTATTTAGCCCCATTTGGTATGCGATTTTTCTGTTGCTAACCATCTATGTTCATTTAATTTTTATGGTTTTATTACAATAAAGGTCCTCACTATGCACTAAAAGCCTTATTCAGTCACAGGGAAATTCGGGGGGTGGGGTGTAGGAGAGAATATTCAGCAAGCAGACTCATAATGGTGGCTCTGCAGTTAATTAATGAATGACGTGTGATGGAGATGGAACAATTGTTATTTCTACATCGTGTGGACTATATTTGAGAACAATTATATTCAGGATTTTTTTTTTTAAGTGTAAAGCATTGCAGGCCAATATGTGAAGCAAGAAGTTAAAGAGACCTAAAGAATTTTTTTTTAGCTCAATACAACAAATCATCTTTGCCATAATCAGAGATGTTAGGGAAATGTCCATTTATATAAAAATTAAAAAAAAACAAACAGAAATTGGGCAGAAAAGTGCCCTAGTGACATCAATGGCTGTGTTTGTTGGCAATCTGTATATCTCCTTTGGAGAAATGTCTATTTAGGTCTTCTGCCCATTTTTGGATTAGGTTGTTTATTTTTTTGATATTGAGCTGCATGAGTGGCTTGTAAGTTTTGGAGATTAATCCTTTGTCAGTTGCTTCATTGGCAAATATTTTCTCCCATTCTGAGGGTTGTCTTTTTGTCTTGTTTATGGTTTCCTTTGCTGTGCAAAAGCTTTTACATTTCATTAGGTCCCATTTCTTTATTTTTGTTTTTATTTCCATTTCTCTAGGAGGTGGGTCAAAAAGGATCTTGCTGTGATTTATGTCATAGAGTGTTCTGCCTATGTTTTCCTCTAAGAGTTTTATAGTGTCTGGCCTTGTATTTAGTTCTTTAATCCATTTTGAGTTTATTTTTGTGTATGGTGTTAGGGAGTGTTCTAATTTCATTCTTTTACATGTAGCTGTCCAGTTTTCCCAGCACCACTTATTGAGGAGGCTCTCTTCTCCATTGTATATTCTTGCCTTCTTTATCAAAGATAAGGTGACCATATTTGCATGGGTTTATCTCTGGGCTTTCTATCCTGTTCCATTGATCTATATTTATGTTTTTGTGCCAGTACCATATTATCCTGATTACTGCAGCTTTGTAGTATAGTCTGAAGTCTGGGAGCCTGATTCCTCAGGCTCCGTTTTTCTTTCTCAAGATTGCTTTGGCTATTCAGTGTCTTTTGTGTTTCCATACAAACTGTGAAATATTTTGTTCTAGTTCTGTGAAAAATGCCATTGGTAGCTTAATAGGGATTGCACTGAATCTGTAGATTGCTTTGGGTAGTATCTTACTTTTGTATCTTTATCCTTAGCACAGTGCCTCATCCAGCGTATGGGTGCAATATATATATATATATATATATATATATATATATATACACACACACACACACATATATATACATATATATACACAAATATATCCTTAAAATAAAGGCCAGTCATTAAATATTATCTTTAAGAAATTCCACTTGTAAAAAGTTACAAGACATTGTTGCTTCTAACCTACTGGTAAGAGCAAAGTAGATAATGTACAAAATGGTATATTTGAATCCATCAGAGTGTTGAAATCTAAAGGATGACATTAGTCTTCTGAGAGACTATACACTGTTTAAAGTAAAAATAATAATATACCATTTGTATAGCTTTTCTAAAACAAAAATACATAAAAATAAAAACATAAAGGGCAGGAGGGTGGTACATACACTGTCATGAAGTCTATAAATTGGAAGTACATTATCATGAAGTTCTTAAATATTTTGTGAATTAAGAGAGTAGGTTTGGATATAGACTGTGATAACTTAAGACTTCATTTTGTACTACCCAAAGAAACCAATAAAAGATAAGACAAGAAAGCATAGTTTAAAATTTAGTAGAGAAGATGAAAAGGAATGCTATAAGTGATTTACCAACAAATAAGACAGGAAATTAGAAACAGAAGAAACAAGAGAATATGGAAAGTATAGAAATCAAATACCAAAACTTAAAATCCAAACATATCAACAGTTAAATGAATCAAAGACCCAAATTAAAAGATAAAGAGTTCACAATACATAAAAATCAAGATGAACTATATGTTTAACAGATGGAAACCTAAACATAAAGACATAAATAAGCTGAAAGTAAAGGATGGGAAAAAAATTGCCATACAAACTCTAAGCAACATAAAGCTAATGTGACTCACTAATACACAAAATAAAGACCAAGATAAAGTGTGTTACCAGAGATTAAAAAAAAAAAAAAGGTCATTTTCCAATAAAGGAATGGTGAGTTAATCAAGAAAACGTAATTCAAAATGTGTATGAACTAAGTTCTCAAATACAGGAGAAAACTTGCTAAAACTAAAGGGAACTAGACACAAATCTCCCAATCATAACTGAAGACATTAGCAGACACTTTTCAATAATAAATAAAACAGTAGAAAAAATCCATAAGGATGTGTAAGATTTAAACTCAACCTCAGTAGTCCAAACTCAACCTCATGGTCGTCATAAAAAGGCAAATTAATTCAGGATGAGATCCGCTAGATACACACCAAAATAGATAAATTAGAAAAATTGACAACACCATATATAAAGGATGTGGAGCATCAAGAACTCTCCCATAATGGTGGTGGGAACACAAAATGCTACCTATATACTGGAACTATTCTCTAGTTTCTTAAAAAGCTAAACAATTCTACTCTTAGATGTTTATCCAAGAGAATGAAAACCTATGTATACAAAAAGCTTTTTAAGGAATGCTCATTATAGGTTTATTCATAAAAGCCAGAAGACTGGAAACAATCTAGGTTTCTACCATAAGGAAAATGGGTATACAGATTATGCTATATTAATACAGGAGAATGCTACTCAGAACTAGAAAGACTGAGCTACTGATACTATAACAATATCAGTAATCTCACAAATATTATTGAAAGCAAATGAGGCTGGGAGTAAAAGAGAATACACACTGTATGATTCCATTTACATGGAATTATGGAAGAGACAAAGCTAAACTATGGTGATAGGAATTAATTCAAGGATTTCTTCCTGGTAGTGCTCTTGTCTGGCTTGACTGGAAAGGGACACATGGGTTGTGAAAGTGTTCTGGGTCTTGATATTTAGTCATCAAATTTAATTAAATGATATTCTTAATACTTGAGCATTTCACAGTATATAAAGTATGCCACAATAAAAAACATAATAGTTCTGAAATATATGTGCAATGTATTACTTTTAAAAAATATTAATTAAAATGGTTTAAGGAAAGCAGGCAGGAATGATGGAAGCCTGACTTTACATATAAGATCCAAATAGTGCTAACAAGCGTGTGATCAAGAATGTGAAGTTTAAGTATACAACAGTGGAAAAGAAAGACAAAGTCACTTCCTTCAACAGCTAACAGCTTGTACAATTCATTCTGCTGTGTTTCCTATAAATAAATTGTAATTTATCTGAGGACAATGCTATTTAAGTGCTGAAGATAAAAGCATGTGTTAATATGTGCTAATAGGACATACGTGACCTTCTGACTTAGGACTTTTCAGATCAGAGATCTTGATATTCATTTAGTTTATTCTCTCAGTATCCCTCAGCTTTAACCTATTAACAAGTAGGAAAATAACCTAAGGTGAGACACAAAAAAGGAAGAGAGATGAAAGTCTTAAAATTTACCATAGACCAAATGTAAAGACAAAAAACAAAAGTAATCATAATCACTTTTGTATTATTTGACTACATCTTTTATATTTTTCTGTAGAAAATATTCAGCTGATCTCATCAGATATATATCTTGCTATAATACTGAAAGGTGAACAATCAATATTTCAATGTATTATTTTCTGCTAAGGTAACCAAACTGTTACAATACTAGTAACATATATCTCACATCTAATACTAAGCCCCAATTCTAAAATAACTATTACAGATGAATTACATATACTACAAAATTGAGACACTAATAGTCATGGTGACGATGACAGTGGTAATGAAGAAGAACAATGTATTTAAAGTTCTTCCTCTTACTGATCACTTATATGCCAAGCATTCTACACTTTCTTGAACTTTTCTACATTACATTATCAAACTGCCAATGTAATCTTTTAATAGAAGTATTATTATCTCCTTTTAAAATAGAGAAAACTGATGCTCCAATATGTAAGTGCTTAACACTTTAAGCATTAGACAGGTAATAAGTTAATAAATCCAAGATAAACTTGAGACTCAAATCTGCTTCTGTTGTATCACAAGACTATGTGTTTAAACATGACTACATATAATTTCTCAAACAGTAATTCCCATACCCTTGAAGAGTAAAATTAACAATCATGCTTATGTACTATTGTATCCCTAGTGTAAAGCATGTCTCTGGCAAAACGAAAGCCATACATAAATAGTTCTTAAATCAGTTTGTACAAACAAAATAACAACAAAAAAAATTGAAAAAAAGAAGATGCATTTTGGCCTCAAACAGGAAATGCCATTTCCACAAAATCTAGGGGAAAAGGGGGCTTCTTTGCTTTTATATTTTTTCCCTTTAATCTTTTGGTCTGAAGGCCAGGTCCTTGGAAGGGCGCCTGTAAAGACTTCAAAGGACTGTACATGAAGTCAACACTAGAAATAGCAACTATTTCTCCTTTGAGATTAGAATGAAGCATTGCTCATTGTCTTACCTGGTCTTGAGACTCAGAGGGAAGAGCAAATCTCAAAGGTTTAAAGCTGAAATATAGTGGAAGCCTGTCTTCATCAACTTCTTTTAGCCCACAGATCTACCAAAAAAACAGAATAAAAGTATACTTTATTGAAAGCTTAGAGTACCTTCATCACTGTGATAAGAATAGTTAAAATATTTTTAATTTGTACAATTTTTGTAATCTAATTAATCTAATTAATTACTAATCTAATTAATCTAATCTAATTAATTCACACACATTTTACTATTCATATAATAGTTTTCTGGTATAAAAGTATCCCAGACCAGTTTTGGAATTGATATACTTTACAACACAGGAGGTTAGTTTATAATAAGATTTAAGAGACAATAATTAAATTTATTCATAGAATTTCTTACTCTTGAAAAAATGTTTAGAATCAAATCTTAGCATATTTAAATCCTGTAGATTATCTTGAGATAAGAAATCTATTGAAAAATACAAATTTCAAAAATACTGCTAGGATGGTCAAACCCAGATTTCTTTAAAGCATGTGGTGTACACAAGACATTATAAAGATCTCTTCTCAATAAAAGTGAAGAGAACTAAAATTAACAAAATAAAAATTACAAGGGGGGCGAGGATCTGTATCTCTACTGATCATATGAGATACAGCAACATACTGTGCCCTTAAAATCTTATTATTCATTATCATATGTTAAGGGCATTTTATCTCAAGATTAAACTGCCAAAATTTGTTCTGATGAATATTGATTTGGGAAGAGCTCAATGTAGACTTTCTCAGAGAGAAGATGAGAAATATATGTTTTTTTAATGTCTCTCTGGTCATGTAGTCAAGCCAGGTTGACAAACCAGTTAGACAGAGGGAAAGTCCTCATCAAACAAACTGACCAGGAATGTCAACAGAAAAGTTATGGACTTTACTCAGCACATTATAATTTATTAGTTGGTTAGTTAATCCACAGAACTTTTCTTGACCAAGCCAAAGACAGATATCCAGGTGCTACTGGAAGTAAGCATAGAGTTTTTCCAATCCGGATGTAATATAGTTCTAACCTAAGTTAAATCTAAGTTTTGATGTTAAGATACTGGAAAATGAAACAGAAATTAAACCCAAAATAAGCAGGAGAAAGGACATATTAAGTGGGGAAAAAAAGGAGAGAAATCAATGAAAGAAAAAGCAAAAAAATAATAAAATTAACAAATTCAAAATTGATTGTTAAATATTAACAAAATTAATCCCCATCAAGAATGAACAGAAGGAATCAAAAAGAAAACGGGTAGAAAATACATTACTCAGAAAAAAAATAAGATTGGAGATGCACACTACCTGATTTCAAGGCTGTAAATGAGCTGCAGAGGTCAAGAGAGTGTGGTATTCATGTTAGAATAAATAAATATATTGATAGAACATCATGGACTCCAGAATTCGACACACACATATATATATATGATCATGTGTATATATATGATCAATTAATTAATTATATTATTTTATTTATTTTTATTTTACTATTTATTTTATTGTTATTAATTATTATTAATCAATTAATATATGATCATATATATGATCAATTAATTTTTGACAAACAAAGCAATTCATCAAGAATGGGAAAGTATTTTCAAGAATTGGTCCTTGCACATCAAGTAAATTGCCAAGTCATAGTTGGTCCAATCCAGAAAGTGTCTGATTTCATTGTCTAATTTTATTCATTCTACCATTATACATTTGGAATCCAAGGTTGTGTGTGTATACTACATATTTTTTTGTACTTTGCTCACTTCTTATATTTTCTCATGTCTCTAATATTTTATATATACATGTGTATGAATGCATGCACTTATGTATGGATGTATGTCACATCAGGGAATGTGAGGTTTTTGCCTCTTTTAGAGATTACTTTTTAAAATCAGGATTCTGAGAGAACAGTCCATGCATCTTGAGAGCAAAACTCTTTTCAGGTCCTTTGACATCAGTCAAATTAGATATTACTTTCTCTTATTATATTCCAGTTTTGAATTACTTCTTCCACAGGCAGGGTTTATAACTGAGATATATTTTTACTTCCCCTGGTATGCCACTTTAAGTAAGAACATATGTACTGAGGCTATTAGAAGTTCAATAAGTTTTAATTGAAATCTAAGTGGATTAATGTAAATGGATTAAATGCTCCCAACAAAAGGCACAGACTGGCTGAATGGATACAAAAACAAGACCCATATATATGCTGTCTACAAGAGACCCACTTCAGACCTAGAGACACATACAGAATGAAAGTGAGGGGATGGAAAAAGATGTTCCATGCAAATGGAAATCAAAAGAAAGCTGGAGTAGCAATTCTCATATCAGACAAAATAGACTTTAAAATAAAGACTATTAGAAGAGAGAGAGAAGGACACTACATAATGATCAAGGGATCGATCCAAGAAGAAGATATAACAATTGTACATATTCATGCACCTAACATAGGAGCACCTCAATACATAAGGCAAATATTAACAGCCATAAAAGTGGAAATCAACAGTAACACATTCATAGTAGGGGACTTTAAGACCCCACTATCACCAATGGACAGATCATCCAAAATGAAAATAAATAAGGAAACACAAGCTTTAAATGATACATTAAACAAGATGGACTTAATTGATATTTATAGGACATTCTATCCAAAAACAACAGAATACACATTTGTCTCAAGTGCTCATGGAACATTCTCCAGGATAGATCATATCTTGGGTCACAAATCAAGCCTTGGTAAATTTAAGAAGATTGAAATTGTATCAAGTATCTTTTTTGACCACAATGCTATGAGACTAGATATCAATTACAGGAAAAGATCTGTAAAAAATACAAACACATGGAGGCTAAACAATACACTACTTAATAATGAAGTTATTCTCTGTAAATCACTGAAGAAAACAAAGAGGAAATCAAAAAATACCTAGAAACAAATGACAATGGAGACACGACAACCCAAAATCTATGGGATGCAGCAAAAGCAGTTCTAAGAGGGAAGTTTATAGCAATACAATCCTACCTTAAGAAACAGGAAACATCTCGAATAAAAAACCTAACCTTGCACCTAAAGCAATTAGAGGAAAAGGAACAAAATACCCCAAAGTTAGCAGAACGAAAGAAATCATAAAGATGAGATCAGAAATAAATGAAAAAGAAATGATAGCAAAGATCAATAAAACTAAAAGCTGGTTCTTTGAGAAGATAAACAGAATTGATAAGCCATTAGCCAGACTCATCAAGAAAAAAAGGGAGAAGACTCAAATCAATAGAATTAGAAATGAAAAAGAAGTAACAACTGACACTGCAGAAATACAAAAGATCATGAGATATTACTACAAGCAACTCTATGCCAATAAAATGGACAACCTGGAAGAAATGGACAAATTCTTAGAAGTGCACAAGCTGCCAAGACTGAATCAGGAAGAAAACATGAACAGACCAATCACAAGCACTGAAATTGAAACCGTGATTAAAAACCTTCCAGCAAACAAAAGCCCAGGAACAGATGGCTTCACAGGCGAATTCTATCAAACACTTAGAGAAGAGCTAACACCCATCCTTCTCAAACTCTTCCAAAATATAGCAGAGGGAGGAACACTCCCAAACTCATTCTACGAGGCCACCATCACCTTGATACCAAAACCAGACAAGGATGTCACAAAGAAAGACAACTACAGGCCAATATCACTGATGAACATAGATGCAAAAATCCTCAACAAAATACTAGCAAACAGAATCCAACAGCACATTAAGAGGATCATACACCATGATCAAGTGGGGTTTACTCCAGGAATACAAGGATTCTTCAATATACGCAAATGAATCAATGTGATACACCATATTAACAAATTGAAGGAGAAAAACGATATGGTCATCTCAATAGATGCAGAGAAAGCTTTTGACAAAATTCAACACCCATTTACGATAAAAACCCTGCAGAAAGTAGGCATAGAGGGAACTTTCATCAACATAATAAAGGCCATATATGACAAACCCACAGTCAACATTGTCCTCAATGGTGAAAAACAGAAAGCATTTCCACTAAGATCAGGAACAAGACAAGGTTGCCCACTCTCACCATTCTTATTCAACATAGTTTTAGCCACAGCAATCAGAGAAGAAAAGGAAATAAAAGGAATCCAAATCGAAAAAGAAGTAAAGCTGTCACTGTTTGCAGATGACATGATACTATACATAGAGAATCCTAAAGATGCTACCAGAAAACTACTAGAGCTAATCAATGAATTTGGTAAAGTAGCAGGATACAAAATTCATGCACAGAAATCTCTGGCATTCCTATACACTAATGATGAAAAGTCTGAAAGTGAAATCAAGAAAACACTCCAATTTACCATTGCAAGAAAAAGAATATAATATCTAGGAATAAACCTACCTAAGGAGACAAAAGACCTGTATGCAGAAAATTATAAGACACTGATAAAAGAAATTAAGGATGATACAAATAGATGGAGAGATATACCATGTTCTTGGATTGGAAGAATCAACATGGTGAAAATGACTCTACTACCCTAAACAATCTACAGATTCAATGCAATCCCTATGGAACTATCACTGGCATTTTTCACAGAATTAGAACAAAAAATTTCACAATTTGTATGGAAACACAAAAGAGCCCGAATAGCAAAAGCAATCTTGGGAACAAAAAACAGAGCTGGAGGAATCAAGCTCCCTGACTTCAGACTATACTACAAAGCTACAGTAAGCAAGACAGTATGGTACTGGCAAAAAAACAGAAATATAGATCAATGGAACAGGGTAGAAAGCCCAGAGATAAACCCACGCACATATGGTCACCTTATCTTTGATAAAGGAGGCAGGAATATACAGTGGAGAAAGGACAGCCTCTTCAATAAGTGGTGCTGGGAAAACTGGACAGGTACATGTAAAAGTATGAGATTAGATCACTCGCTAACAGCATAGACAAAAATAAGCTCAAAATGGATTAAAGACCTAAATGTAAGGCCAGAAACTATCAAACTCTTAGGGGAAAACATAGGCAGAACACTCTATGACATAAATCACAGCAAGATCCTTTTTGACCCACCTCCCAGAGAAA